TTACATTCATTCACTAAGCTGCTGTTGTATGAAAACTTTTACTAACGCTTCAGTTGCCTCAATTCCTTTATTCTTCGAGTTGAACATACATGACAGAAAAAAGGGAAAGAAAGAGAAGGTATTCTAATTTGGAAAGTCTAGATGGCAAAGAGATAAGCTCAGTTTCATTGCTGAAAGTAAATCATGACATGGCAACTTATTTCATGGGTCATCAGATAGAATTAGGCCAATTGTGGAGAATTTACAGCATCTTATACGTAAGGCTTATACTATATTACATTCACTTTATTCCACAAAGCAAAAAAAAAAAAAAAAAAAAAAAAAAAACGAAATTTGACGTTGTAATTGGCATCTTCCTCAGGGTACTGAGGATCTGTAGCCCTGAATTTCTTGAGCCTGGGGTTACTTATGTAATCAATTCTTTTATAAAACACAAATATCCCGAAGGCTTTCTGCTAAATCTCAAAATTACCGCCATGTGACGTTTCCCAGGCGATCAGCAGATACTTTGGATGTACAGTGAAAATCGCCAGCACACCCTTTGAAAAGATAAATGACGCAATACGAGAAAGAAAACAGCCGAAAAACAACCCCAACAGCGCAGTATATCACATGTCCTGTAACAGATGCGATAAGGCATACATGTTTGAAATGGGACGTGGCTGCAACACCAGGATCAACGAACATCGAGCCTACGTGCGTCACCACAGAGCTTCCAGCGCCATGGTGGTTCACGTTGATGAAGCTAGACATCTACCGAAGTGGAAGGAAGCTGAAAGAATCCATGAAAGACTAAACAAACGCAAAACGAAAGTCATGGATGCTGCATACATCACGACCAAAAGAATATAAACACCGCATCTGGCAGATTCAAACTATCCAAGGTAACGGCAGCAATTATGCGTGTAACGAGCAAGGTCTACTTATATTGGTAACGAGTGCGAGGTTACAATCGTGTGTGTATTTCTGACGGAGATATTCGAAACCGCTCAGATACATCTCTTGTATTGTGAAGATATTCATTCTCATTCTCTCCCCCCCCTCCTCTCTCTCTCTCTCTCTCTCTCTCTCTCTCTCTCTTCTCTCTCTCTCTATATATATAATATATATATATATATATATATATATATATATATATAAATGTGTGTCTGTGTGTGTGTGCACGTGAAATCTTTCCTCAAATTCTGGTAAAATAATTATTTTCCATTATATTTACGGAGTAATGAAGTTCTCACGAGGTAATACTTGCTGCCATAAATAGATTACCTGATCATATGCTATATTTAAAACCCTTCGCAACTTATGCTACAGAGAAAGAGAGAGATACAGAGAGCGAGAGAGAGAGAGAGAGAGAGAGAGAGAGAGAGAGGAGAGAGAGAGAGAGAGAGAGAGAGAGAGAGAGAGAGAGGAGAGAGAGGGAGGAGAGAGAGAGAGTGGCGTTTATATAAGCAGATAAGCATTGTCGCAGAGTGGCTGTTAAAGTTAGATTAGTTAGCCTTCAAAGGACGTTTTCTATTACAAATGGCGATCAGAGCGCTTACATAGAAAACGTAATTCCTCAAGTACTGAAATTAAGGAAGGACGTAAAATATTCGTAAGTAATCTACAGCAGTTAAAGGGCATAAGTATAATCGTCGTGGTTTTTTTTTCTTTGATATTATTCAATAATGTATGCTTAGCCTATTCATGCAAAAAAAAAAAAAAAAAAAAAATCGGACACCTCTGGTACCCCCAAATCCTAGCAACGCCCTTAGAAACGAAGATGCAAAACTCGGCGGTCTTCGCAATCCTTGTGACGTCATTCCCAGGACGGGAGAATCTTGTTGAACAGCGTGATATCACAGTGCACCCGCGAGTCAAGGATTCATGGAATTGTCCAGTTTCAAGCTATCAAAGTTTGTAACAAAGGATGCGGCGTTGTGTAGCAATTCATTGTTCCCACCTAGCTATTAAATGGCCAAAAGACCGCAGGAGCAGGAAATGGACACGTTTTGTGCATGCCAAGCGGGGCAACTTTCAGCCTGTGCAACCAGCGTACTTTGGCCTGAAACACTTCGAGCCCGATTGCGCAGATGCTTACGACATGGGATTTGCAAAACGGTAGGCCATTTCCAATTCATATTTGTCATAATCACAACAGCACACAAAACTCTGAAAGAGCGCTTTGCTTCGGCGAGCGTACATTCATTGCGTGGGTACGACAGTGCCGAGTGCATTGCAAGTGTACATGTATTACTGCACAGAAGTAAGGTAGATACACCCCAAAAAGCACAACACAAAAACCCGATGCCCTCCACTCGCGAATGGATGTAGGCCTACGCCACGGGGCAGAGATAGATAGCTCAGCTGCAAAAATTTTGTACCATACAGAAGCGGGATCACACGTTCGACTATAAAAAATAATTTAGAAAATTACCATTCATTCAATCTCATCGGGTCTCGACGCCACTCCATGTCTGGCTGGTTTGGCACAACTTCCACGACATCCGCAGCGTCGCGCTCGTGCATGTACGGCCCAACAACCATCAACCCTTGATATTCCTCTTCTTGCAACTCTTCGAAGACATAGGCACCCTCTGAAGAACTTGTACCAATGTCCTCGTCGGAATAATCCGATGAAACTTCACTGCCGCTGTAGTCTTGTAGTGAGTCCGCCATGCTGTACAATGTACTGAATGCAGAGAATGCTGTGATCGTGTCTAGGAATTGACGTCACACATCCGGGTTCCGGATTTTCGCGGGAAAATATAACTTGACTTCGGAAAATCGAAATAAATCAATTTTGGGGAATTATTTTCAGATTTCCTTTTTTACTCTTATTAGAGAGATGATTTGCGAGTTTATTCTCCCTTTTTTTTTTTTTTAATTTCAGCTGTTACTTCACATAAGCCCTTTAAGGAATAAATAATTTACTTAAGAGGCAGGGAATAAAAAACGGAAGTATTTTCCTGATTAAGATAATATTATTGGTGAATACATTTTACAAGTTGTGTCAAAATAACATGTGTGCTTTATGATACAGCTTTTAAAAAGAAAATCCACGTAACAGAATCTATAAAGAATATCCAAAAATAAAACATTTTAACCAACAGGGTAAGGAGAAAGTATAAAATGCTCTTGGGGCTGCGACGTAAAATACCTTATGTTTCTCGCTGATTATTATTATTATTATTATTATTATTATTACTATTATCATCACCATCATTATTATTATTATCAGTATTATTAGTGTAAGCGAAAGAGTGGCTTCAGTAACAATAAAACTAAACAAAAGGTACAACTTAAAAGATTGTTGAGGTATATGCTCCAACCTGCACGAAAGAGTGGCTTCAGTAACAATAAAACTAAACGAAAGGTACAAAGTGATGAAGCCACAGTGATGAAGAAATAGAGAGCTTCTATGATGATATTCATTTAGCCAGCGAGAGAATAAACACCCATTTCTCAATAATTATGGATTTCGATGTAAAAATAGGTAAAAAGACAGAGGGAGAAACCGTAGTAGGAATAACCACGGAATAAGCGCTAGAAATCAGAGGGGACAAATGCTAGTCGATTTTGCGGAGGCTCGATCGCTCAATAGCATGAATACATTCTTCGAAAAAAAGACCAGAACGGAAGTGGACATGGAAGTCGCCATCTGACGTCAAAAACGAAATTGACTTTATAATTTCAAAGAGGCGCGATATAATAAAAAATGTGGAAGTTATTAACAAAGTAAATGTTGGCAGCGACCATAGAATGGTTAGAGCCGAAGTTAAAGTTCACCACAGAAGGGAAAGGAACAAACTCATACGTAAACCACAGCCAAACTTAGCTAACTTGAAGATCAGAACGACAGAATTTAGCCTTAACATCCAAAACAGATACTCACTTCTCGGCGACGAAGATCTCAACATCGACCAAATTAACAAACAGTTCAATGACGTAATAAAGGAAGCTGCACTTGAAGTAGGCCGCAGGAACGACAAGCAAAGCTCAAGCAAGCTCTCGGTAGAAACTAAACAGCTTATGCAAAAACGTAGAGCCATGAAAGTATCGTCAAACAGGGATAAGATTGAATTAGTTGAACTAACGAAGACCACAAATAAAAAGAAGAGGGAAGATGCACGGAAATTCAATACTCAAATAATAAGTGAAGCAGTGATTCAGGTACCAGCATGAAAGCAGCTAAAAGAAGACTAGGAATAGGGAGAAATCAAATGTATGCAATAAAGAAACCAGACGGTAAAGTGACATATAACAAAAATGAGATCATGAGAGTAGTGAAAGACAGGGTTCTATACAACTCAAATGAACAGGCACGATTAGATGGAAGAGTGGTAACTAGAGACTTACCTAATATCACAAAAGAAGAAATAAAAAGAGTGCTTAAAGGCATGAAGAGAAGGAAAACACCAGGTGACAGAATTACCATAGACCTTATATTAGATGCAGGAGAATTGCAACAGTAAAACTAGCCCATCTTTTTAACAAATGCCTTCTCAACGGAGAAACTCCGAAAGCCTGGAAAAATGTAACAATTATTTTGGTACATAAAAAAAAAAAGGATCTAAAAAGACTACCGACCCATAAGCCTCCTCTTGGTTACAAACTGTTCACGAAAGTCATTACAGCTCGTATCTCCGACAGTCTGGATTCTAACCAGCCTAGAGAACAGGCAGGCTTCCGCAGTGGATTCTGAACAACAGACCACATCCACACACTCACCCAAGTAAGAGAAAAAAAATAAACGAATATAGGAAACCCCCGTGTATGGCATTCACCGATTATGAGAAGGCATTTGACTCTGTACAAATACCAGCAGTATTAGGAGCTATTCGACAACAGAGAGTAGAGGAGGTATATTGTAAAATATTGGAAGATATATACAAAGATGGGACAGCAACCATCGAGCTCCACGCGCTAACCGATAAAATACCAATTAAAAAAGACGTTAGATAGGGCTACACCATCTCACCAAAACT